TGGTGCTACCATTGTGAACCTGAGTTGAAAGCATCAACCACGCAATGATGTCATCCTTAGTCGCATCATCCCAAGAAGTTCAAGAGATGGTCATCTGCTGGAAAAGTGAAGCTTACCCTGTTCTTTGATTTCTAGAGCCCGCTGTTTATTGATTTCAAGGATCCAGGTGTCTCTATCTCTGGAAACGGTACTGCAAAATACTCAAGAGATTATGATTTGCAGTTAAGGTAACATCCAGGAAAGCTTCGGAATGATGTGATTCTGCTTCATGATAACATACATCCCATATAGCAAATGTCGTTACGTGAAATGTATACACAATAAAGTGGGAGATGCTCGAGCATAAACCTTACAGTCCTGATCTCTTCCCATGTGATTTTCACACCTGCAGTTTCTTAAAAAGGCCTTTGAAAGGTAAATTCTAGCTGGATAGAGAAGTGCAGCAGGCAGTTTCAAACTTCTTCAAGCAACAGAAAAAATAATTTTACCTAACAGGTATGTTTAAGTTGATAAAGCAGTGGGGATGATTGCTTAAATTCTCAGGATGATTCTGTGTGATTGGCATATCAAATTTGGATTGTACAACCGTTGAACGGAAACTTTTTTTTGTCATCCATAGTAATGGTAATAATTCTGCTGGTTTTTTTTTTTTATTTATTTATTTAAAGAAAAAGAAATCCTCGTGCACCACAAAGTATCGCACGAGACTTACAAATCGTAAGTGAAAAAGGCAGCAGAATAGTAAGTAATATCATCAGTTTTCAACAATACAATGAAATCATAACAAGGAAAAAAAAAACACAAGTAAATACAAAAGTATAAAAAATGTATAAAGAAATCATTAACAGTGTTTAAAATAAAAGTCAACAAAATCATTGAAAGCTCGGTAGGCCGAAATCGAGGATACAAAATCATAACATTTCGAGGATACAAAATCATAACATTTCGGCGGCCAATGAATTCCAATGAATTTCAATCTACATTTCAAAAGATTTCTTGCTTTATCAAGCAGTGGGCAATCAAAAAGCAGGTGGAAAGTGGAAAACACTTTGCTCAACGCTAAGATTGCAATTACACAAATTGGAAGATATCAGCTTAAATCGTTCAAGATAAACATTAAACTTACCATGTCCAGACAAAATTTGCGTAACTTTAAAATTGAGCAAACAAGTCCTTACTTTTCAGTCTTTCAAAAATAGTTGGGAAGAATGCTTTTGTAACAGATCCCTTATCAGAAGAGATATAATCACAGTTCCACCGCTCAATCATTTTAGCTTTGAATGTTTTTTTTAAATAAGATTTTGGAATATTTACATCAACGTTAATATCATTTTTAGTTGCATTCTTAGCAAGCCAATCAGCTCTCTCGTTTCCATAATTACCCGAATGACCACGGACAAATGTAAAAAACACTGAAATACCCCTCTTCTCCAGATCTCCGAGAGACTGCTGTATATTGACAATAATATCATTACATAAAGAGGTATTTTTAAGAGATTCCAGGGAAGAGAGTGAATCCGTATAGATTAAGTAGCTGGAACCACTTCCATTCTGGCTAATTATCCACTTGATTGCAAAATTAATACACAGACAGAAGTTCAGAAATATATACAGTACATTCATTTCTAATGCGAAATTGGTGACACTCAATTTCAATATCATCTTCAAAAATAACATAAGCAAAACCAACTTTATCATCAATCCTACTACCATCCGTATACAGCACAAATGAGAATGAATTAACATCAGTGTCCGTACTATCCAGAATCTGTACTGGTTGTCTTACAGAAGGATGTGGTAGAACAGACAAGGGCAATAAACGACCAAAGTGAGAATTGGAGTAATTTGCAAAACTATTCTTATAATCTATAAAAGTCAGAATAAACAAATCCAGTGGTGGAAATCCGGCAAGAGAGAAAACAGCATTGTAACTAATAGTTCGGTAACTGCTTATAACTCGCAGCAAAATTCGTCTTTGAACTTGAAGCAGGCGTTTAGAGTTAATTTTCTTTTTTAGAGACAATCCCCAAGCTCTACATCCATATGAAATAAGGGGTACAATGCCTTGTTTATAAATAATTACGCTAACATTCGATTTAACACCAAAACTATTACAAGCAATTCGATTCAGCCCACGCTGAAGTCTCTCACATTTATTAGAAATGTAGGAAATATACTTTATCCAGTTAAATTTGCTGTCCAAAAAAAAAACACCTAGATATTTAATTTCATTCACCCTCTCAAGGGGATTGTCATTTAAAAGCAATTGATATCCTTCATAAGTAGTATTTTTTCTATCAATAAACATGGCCTTGGATTTTGCATGGTTAAACTTTAACTTAAAATCTATTGACCAATGATAAATGAAATCTATAACATCTTGGGCGAGACGAAAAGCTTTTTGCATTTCTTTTCCTTGAATACAAATCAACAAATCATCTGCAAAGGCAATGACTTCACAACTGAAGAGATCAGAAAGTTTCTGTAAGAGATCATTCATAATAATAATTCAAAGGTTGGGACCAGAAACAGAACCTTGTGGACAACCTCTTTGAGGTCGGCGAACACTTGAGGTACCACCCAAAGTAAGCTCGACCATCCTGTCTTTCAGCAAATCAGAAACAACATTAAACACATTTTGAGGTATCTTCGTTTCTTTTAGTAAATTGAGAATAGCAGGCCACCATGCATTATCAAAAGCTCCTTCAATATCAAGAAAAATTAAAATAGTGTACAAACCTCTCATCTTACCCCTCTGTACAATGTTGCTAAGACGCAGAAGTGCAAATTCTGCTGGTTAGATATATTTTTACTTATACTTTCTTACTTACACCTTATACTTTCTATTTATACTTTCTTACTTACACCTTATACTTTCTATTTAAAATAATTCTGCTGGTTAGATATATTTTAAATAGAAAGTATAAGGTGGCTGGTCATAAATGATATTGATCTTATGAATATAGAGATTTAGATTTGAAGAGTACATTTATTCCTTCACTTTTTCATTTTATGGCTTAGTCTTTTAATTTGTCTGCTTACTTTATATGTGCACCTTGTTGTTTGCTCATGACAAGAAGAGCTCCAAGTAAACGATGTATTACTGTAGTGTGTGTCTATTTTTACTTAAAAAAATGTTAACAATTCACAATCACTCGTATTTCTCCCATCACAAGAAAAGTTTTAAGCATTCCACGTATTGATGCTCTTTTTTTTTTTTTTTTTTTTTTTTTTTTTATGATGTTCAAAATATTTTATTTACCCAGAAGTGAAGGTACTATATTTTTCCAAGATGAAGGTACTATATTTTTCTTCCAATTTTATGAAACGTACCCACAATATGCAACAGATAGTATGGTATGAAACAACATAAAAGGAAATTACCAGATAGTTATGGTAGTATAGAAATTAGCACATGTATAAAATGAACAAATCGAAGACGTCAGTTTGCTATAGTAAAAGTACCTTCAATATGGAATATAATCGCCTCTAGAAGCAATACAGCACATTCAGTGATGTGTGATGCTTTCAATTATGCGTCAAGCAGTTGCAAGGGTCTAAGGGGGCAGATTGAGAGCAGCTAGACGTCTTCCTAAAACATTCCAAACGCGCTCTATAGGATTCAAGTCCCGGGATCGAGCTGGCCACTCATGCGCATAATTGTTTCCAGTTGAAGATAATCATCTACGATACAAGCCCTGTGTTGTCTTGCGTTATTGTCCTGTAACGAGAAAGCGTCACCTATTGCCCCGGCATATGGACACACATAAACATCAAGGATGTCATCTCTATAAATCTGAGCATTCATGGTTCCCCTTGGAAAGACATGGAGGTCTGTACGTCCACCCAGAGAGATGCCACCCAAACACAGACATTGCCTTTTCCATATGCATCTCTTTCACGGATGTTTGACAGATGTTAACGGGTTCCAGGTTCTCTCCATATCAAATAACACCTACTATTGCGTTCTAGACTAAACCTGGACTCATCCATAAAGAGAATAGCCCTCCATTGATCAGGTGTCCAGTGGACATGCTGTCGTGTCCACTGCAAACGGTCCCTTCTATGGCGTGACTTGAGCAGCATGCAAATGGTTATTCGCCTTGCATACAGACCACCTTTATAAAGCTTTCTATGCGCAGTTGACGCTGACACCAAACTTCCAGTGGCTGCAGCAAAGGAGGATCTAAGAAGAGTCGGAGTAGCGGTTCTATTCCTGAGTTCACTTAATGTCAAATATCGGTCATCGGTGCTCCTCGTAGCAGTTAGCTGTCCTTGGCTGAACCTCCTAGGTGCCGAATCTGTGATTTGAAATTGCCTCCAAAGTCTATGAACCACAGAAGGATTTACATTTAGCCATGTGGCCACTTCTGTTTGAGTTTGTCCTGCCTCTAGTCTCCCATTGGCTTTCTGTCGTAGTAGTTCTGCACGCAAATGATGCCTGGAGATCATTGTTATGAATTGGTTATCTCAGATTTCTGATGTCACTATCACAGTGAAATATGTGGGCTTACTCTCAAACATGGACTTTTATGCTTCTTGCAGATGACGTATTCCGAGTGCAGCGCCATTAATTTGCATATTGGAGTTTTACTCAGCTACTATTACTTGGCAACATATTCAAATTTTACACGGTTTGGCTTATTTTTGAGGGAGTTATCGTTATTTTTGTGTATTTTTCTTAATTTATGATAGCCAGTGTATTATAATTCACAAAATTTTATTTCGAATACTCTGACCTGGCAACCTGTAGAACTTTTAAATTCAAATGACTCATTTTCAATAAAAATGGTTCTTGATGGTCTTTCTCTCTAGCCTTTCATTTATCCCATTATTTTAAAAAAGGGGGGGAAGAGAATATTGGTTTGAAATTTTAATATTTTCAGCTTTTATGAATTTTTTATTCTTTTTTTATTATTATTATTTTTACTTTAAATGTTTATAGACTTTTTCAATGTTGTTTTTGACTGACAAACTTTTATCTGTGATTTTTTTTTTAGGTTTCATTTGCACCCCTCCCTAACTTAGTTACTGTTCATTGCATTGAACAGGAGAATAATGCACAAATTGATGCTTTTGAATTGGACAGAATCCGTTTCCGGCATCGTATTAATGAGCTTAATTCTAAATTAGCACCCTTTTTATCTGACAGTCATCGAACAAAGGTGCTACAGAGAAACATTTCTTATACATAATTTTTCAGTGATCAAACTCAAGCAGTGCAACTAAAAACCCATGATCAATTATTTATGAATGTATAAATGTATTAATGAGTTGAATTTTAAATTAGCACATTCTTTGTTATCATAGTCATAGAGCAATGGTGCTAGAATGGAATATTTTTATATTTAATTTTTGTAGTGATCAGAATCAAGAACTGCACCTAAAAATTTAATCATCAGTTTTTTCTAAATATATGCATAAATGTATTTTAATCCGATTAATCTTTAATGCACTTTTTAATAAATTATACAGTATTTTTTTACTGAGAGATGTCATTATTTTTATAAAAATATTGCTACCTGATAATTAAACAAATTATAATTTAAGTAAAACGGTTAAGTGCAAACTAAAGAAATGATAACTAAGTCATCCAAAGAAATGTTTTTTGCTTGCTTTCTAGCATTTTGATTTAACTCATTACACTTGCACTAGAGAGGTTAAAATTACCGGATGCTCAGAATAGATATGAAATGTATCCTTATTTAGGTATATTAAAAGGGTGGCCAAACTTCATGAAGGCAGGAGCAATATGGATTTCATGAAAATTTGAAAGCCATAAATCTATACTGATATTTAAAAAATGATGACATAGTTTTTTAATAGAAACAAACTTTTAAAGTAAATTAATGAGAATTTCACATTTTTTATGTAATTAACGTGTTTGCATACGAATAGAAATTAAAACATTATGCACTTGTTGCTCTGTGTTTAGAAAAGTATGTGTGAACAAAATAATAAATATGAAACTGTTGTACTAGGCTGTTTGTTCTTCTTTCGAGTAGCAAAGGTGAATGTTCTTTTGGGTAGCAAAAACAAAACATTTTTCTGTTTCCTTTATCCCTCTATGTTTATAACTGATATTTGGTTTTAGAAGATGTAAACAGAATTGGAAGAATATGTATTATTCTTTGAGATTACAATTATGTAAATAGTTTATAGAGTCTGATTTTCTGTGGTAGCATAAACTGGCATGCAGCAGTTAAATGGCTTGCAGCAAATTATTGCTTAGTCTGAAGTAACAACAGTCTTGAAAAGTTTAAAACAAACTCTTTATTAAATCAGAACTTTAACATAAGCGCACATATCATTCTTAACAAAACAACCACCACTTGTGGCGATGAAACTTAAAGTAACAAACAATTTCATAACTAAGTCCAGTTTTCAAAGACTATATAATTGATTTAACGTGAAGTTGGTTCAAAATTTCTCACCATCGTAACAGTTTAAATGTCTGCAGCTGTAACACAAGAGGAATAATTACAATCTTAACCAGAGTTGCCAAAACCTAGTAACGTGGCCTTGGGAGGCAGAAATACTTACAGTCCAAAACCCTTGACTTATATACTCTGTAACTTAATTTGCATTCTGGTGAGGAAAGGCTAGTAAAGGCTGAAATTTTAAATAATTGTTTAATTAAAATAATAACCCTACAGGTTTTTCATTTTAATGTAAAATAAGTAATCTTAAAAACAAATCCAACCTTTTTCAATCAACCAAACTCATATGCAGTTTTTTAGAAAGAATAAAATGATACAAGACAGTGCTTACTGTAGAGAAAGTATTATTTGCAAAAGAGATTTTTTTAATAAACTGCTAATTTTTTAGGCATTTGCATAAAATTCATAAATTTGATTTGCCACATAAATAACATGAGGACCAACATTTTGAGGTCAAATCTAACTTTAAATCACTGAATTCTGCAAACTGAGTTTTAAATCACATTTTATTTTCTTTAAAGGTGGAGAATTCAAATCATTAGATGCCGAAAGTGTTCAAAAAGATTTTAAATTCCTAATTTCAAAACTTAGAGCTTTTTCTGATATTCAAAAACCTTGGAATGATTGCTTTTCCTGATGCCCAGTATAGAAGAATTCATTAAAAACTGAACACGATTGAAATATCAGTGACATCACTCTCTATGTCTGACAATCCTACGCTGTTAGTTATGGCATCCAGCAAAATTTGCCAGAATTTTTTTAAGTAATCAGTATGCTGCACATTGCTGAAAGTTCTCAAAATTATCTCTCGAAGCATCCAGATAATTCTGGACGTAGTTAATCTAGCAACACATGCCACAACTCCAGTCATGGCTGTTGAATTTTGAACTGTTTTTCAAATGAGGGTAAATCAAAACTAATGGTACAGAAAGAAAACATACGTGTGACTATTATAATGAATTTATTTCATAAAAACAGACAGAACATAAAAGTTTAATTCTCCAAATTTTTATGGATATGTTTGGATGTCACATTGTAGTTTACTTCCTGAGTTCTTGCCACTCTAATATACAGATTGACCCTATTCTTACTGTCAACTGGCTGCAACCTTAAAGACAGTCAAATGACATTCTGTCTTTTCTTAAATTTTGAAATAAAATAATGTCAATGCCAAAGTAAGTTTAAAATAAATCTTTTTCCATTATTTAACCATCAGCATGATGGTTGCACAGTTTAAAATAAATCTGAAAAGGAGTTTGAAATGCAGTCTGTGAGCACTGTGTCTTAAGAAAATGAAAGATCAAAACTGAAGATTTACAGGATTTAACTCTGACAGAATTTCGCACTACACTGTGAAATTTCTAGTGATCTGGTAGTGGATTGCAGTCAAACTTCCCATTGGGTTACTAAGCTTTTGTGAAAGGCATGTCAGACGTATATGATGGTCGAAAAATAGAATAACCAAAAATATCAACAGATTAAAGAAGCATGATGGCAGCTGCACTGAGCAACAAAACACAGGGTCTCAAATTTTAGAAGCATCGACAAAAAAAAACCAAACGTCAGTCCTAATTTAGTGCAATATTTGTGTCGAGCTAAGAAATTCATTAAGCAACACACCAGAAATCACAAGCGATTTCACCTGCATCAGTATGCTGTTATTTTGACAGAAATTTTGTAGAAGAAAGAAGATTGTGTGCATTTGATCTGTTATGGCTTGATTCAACATTTTAAAATGAAGACTCAATGATAATTTAGAATTTTGTTAATTAATGAGTTATTATTATTTTAACTTCCTTCCTTAATCTTACTAGAATGAAAGTTATTTGTTGAGCATTTAAACTGAGGGTTAGCATGTTCTAGAGCTTCTGGCAGCCTCGCTCTGCAGTTAGATATTATCGCCAGCTCTGCCAAATGGTTATACTGGCTTCAGCCATCTTGCTAGCCGACATTTAAATACGCGCCATTAATTACTTGAGCCAGCTTAGTGTATTCCGTGTGTAGACTCTGACTACGTTACCTAAATTGAGTTTAACTTCATCTTATGTTATTTTATATATCTACAAGTAGTGGAGGTTTATATGTAATACAAGTAATGCCTTCTATTAATTTAAAGTGTTCAATAAATAACCTTTCTAAGACCTTGTCATCTGAATTCAGGCTGAAGAAATACCTCACTTGTCAATCTAGTAGGGTCTGAAGAATATTGATTTTAACATCTAAACAAGTAGTATTCTACAATAAAGGTGAAAGATATATATCTCATAAAAAGCAGATAATGACACATGAATTAAAAAACTTTGACCATAATTGAAATTGTCAATTCACTGGAAAAGTCGATTCTCCCCGTGACCCCCAAAATTTCAAGATGCTCAGTCACTGTTGAAATAAATGATGATCTCTGTTTAGGATTACCAAAGAATTATTACAAAAGATAAGTTTTATCTGAAAAAACTGCAGCATTTAACTGTGAATGATTGCAAAATTGTGACAAAACTGCATGAAAACGACTTGCTTAGGGAGGAGGAATTAATTTTGAGACATTCGTAAGTGACAAAGTTGGGATAAGTGTCTTAACCAAATACGAGGAGCTTTAATCACCAGCCATAAAATCCTCAAACTGCAAATTCTTTCCCAAAACTGTAAGAGTGTCTGTGTGGAAACGATTTTCCTCTTCAAAGAGTAGTTAGTTACCCTAGCCATTCAAGGGCTGAATAAGTGTAGCATGATTGTTGTGAAGCAAAAGGAATTACACGTGAGAAAGATATTAGCATAATTGCATTTTTTAACTGCCTTCTTATTTGCGTATTTACTTTGTGCTATTCTGATGACCAGTATCTGCTTTAAAAATAACATGGCCGTGATAGTAATTGAAGAAATGGTGTTATTTGCAATTTTGTTTGTTATTCTGGCGATAAGATTATGGACAGATTGAAATCAATTAAATGATTGCATACATAATATAATTTGAGAAATTAAGTTTGTGATTAATAAAGAAACGTGTCATAGTATGATTTATGTATTAAAATCCAGTTATGTTTTTTAAATTAAACTATTGTTTGTTGCAAGCAAATCGCATTAGAGCCACTGTTTGTCCAAGCTTGATGCTTGGTACTGACCATTTCTGGCCTAGCATATGGATTGAGCATCTGATGCAACTGATAAAAATATGCTTCTATTCTGTCTAATACTGTATGGTGGAAATCCGTAAACTACGGATGTCGCTTGTTTTAAACCCGTCTTGCAGGATGATATTGTTTTTACATGAAAAATAAAATTATGCAACAGTTGAGTTGAAAAGTAGTGAATAATGACCTGAAGTGCGCTGCTGTCGTATTCTTTCGTTTGTCTGTGTCAAAGGTACTCCCAGCAGGTGAATGTTTGTGCATTGTGTGCCTCACGAGCGTGATGACAGTTTTACTCTAGACATTCGCATGGTGTCGTCTGTCAAGGTACTTTGCGATATTTTGTTCTTTTATATTTTTCATTACTACCATTTCACTCTCAAAATCAAATAAGAAGAGAAAAATAGACTTTGAATGTCGTGCTTCTAAAGCAGAATGGAGTGCCAATTGTTTTGTCGAGTTAATTGGCAAAGTTTTATGTTTAATATATAGTGACAAAATCTGTTTGTTATACACTCATGTCCAAAATTATGTTTACATGCATAAATTCACGGATTTCTCAGAGACTATGACTTATAATTTAATGAATTTTCGTGGAATCATACATAACATGATGACACATAAATGCAAAAGAAAAAATTGAAGATCATCTCATATGATATAAAATTGTAGCATGAAACAATAAAAATGGTAATAAAGTGTGACAAAGAGAATTAATTCTTTTTCTGAATCATTCCTTTTTTTCTTAAGTCTTACGAATTTAATATGGAATATGGTCTCCCCTGACTTGTACACACATATCACAACGTGTTTTAAGGCTGGAAATAACGTTGTTAACCACAGTTTGGGGAATTAATCTCCACTCTTCCAGCAATGCCGTCTTCAGAGCATTTACATCTCTAGGAGGAGGATGTATACGT